AGGGGATCAGGGACCTCCCCTGACCCCCTGGGTTTTGGGGACCAGGGGAAGTCTAACAGATTTCTGGTGGCCTGGAACAGTTGAGAATTGGCACCTAGTCAATCCTCCCTAGCCAGGACCCAAACCCAGGACCAAATCACTCACGAGGCGTAGGGCGAGTGAGTGTTATCATTGTGCCAACAGGGGCTTTGTCATGGTTAACCTCACTGGAACCAGGAGGGACTGTGGAAGCACGAGTACATGTTTAACTGGCTTGCCTCCGGCCTGTCATCTGGTGGTGGGGTAGTGCAACTGACTAACAAGTGTATGCCTATTCAATAGTGTTGCCAATGTTTCACCATGAAGTTTCTTGTTTAGGGCACTATCTTACTGGTGGCTCTTTTCCTTGTTCCTGATTTAGTCTATCATCCCCTGACTCCTTGTGCCTCTATTGAGTGGACCAGAATCTGTTTCTGGTCTGCACTTGTAACTCAAAGGGCCTACTGGGGCATGATAGGATTGGAGCTAACCAGGTGGCAAGCTTCAGGGAGCTGCCGAGGGAAATCTTGGAAAAATCATTGTAGAAGTATTTTAGTGGCATACGAAAAGTCAGCATGGAGCCTATGGGTGAGGAGTTTAGAAGGGCGGTGAGAACTGGTGAATAGCCAAGAAATGTAAATCAAGCTCATTTATGACTGACAAAGGCTCACCAATAATGGAACCATGATGATGGAAGACAGGTGTTACATCAGGATGAATTTACATGCAATCTTGTATATATTTTGTCAGATATAAATAAGAGGGATGATAAGGATAAGTGGAGACATTATATATCAAGTTCTCTCATTTAGCCATACAAATGACCCTGTGGGCCTAAACATTCACTTTCCTAAACAAAATTAATGATTCCAGTCTGTCATTATTGGGGGTTCTTCCTGCCTGTGTTTTTATAGGGAATGGTGCGAGTACAGTGCATATTCCATTAAGAATTACACTTTCTCATGCCATGTGAGGCATAGTGTTTGTTGGAGTGAATGGCAGCATCAAGGGGAAAGGAGAAGAAAGGAGTGAAGGACCAGTAGACTGGACATGCAGAAAATAGAGGTGAAGGTAGTAAAAGCTCCTGTGACAAAATGTTTCTAAAGGAAAGAGAGAGGGGGGAAGAAATTAATTGAGGAATATGAAAATGGGGCCACTGATATGGCAACCCGTTCTCACAAATTTAATAAGTCAATATTGACTTATTAAATATGTGCATAGGTGACATACTTAACATAATAGATACCCTTAAAAAGATTCATAGAAAACACCGACCTTACCTAACCTTGTTAGTATCTTAAGATAAGCATTTTATAGCTTCGTAATTACAATTATTACCTAACCTATAATAGGTATAGGTTAAGTAATAATTGTAATTACGAAGCAATAAGATGCTTATCTTAAGATACTAACAAGGTTAGGTAAGGTCGGTGTTTTCTATGAATCTTTTTAAGGGTATCTATTATGTTTAGTATATCACCTATGCACGTAGTTAATAAGTCAATATTGACTTTACGAATTTGCGAGAACGGGTTGGATATGGAGCTCATCAAGGCCTATCAATCCAGGTCTAGGTAGATTGAAAAGTTTTGAGAGAAAGTAAGGCGAGAAGCAGTATGAGCGAGTCTCAACATGATTCGGCTTGCCAGTATTTAACTGAAACGGGGAAAAAGAGGATAAAGGCTCCTAAAAGATACCCACAGATGATAGAGAATTGCCCGATAGAGCATGGCTACAGTTGAAATCCCCCCTAAAGGAAGATTCCTGCTACTAATGATGAGATGAGGTGGGATAATACCAGCACCCACACTTGCATTCATTCTGACATTTTTGGTGATCTTTACCAGTCTCTCAATGATGTGGAGCAGTTCTGCAAGGCCATCACGTGACCTTTTTCTGAGATTGGACCTCAACAATGCACATGCCAGACAGTTGAGGACATGTAACATTTGAGGCCTTGTACATATTTTAGGGAAATGTGCAGCTGAAGATTGTTGCCAACCATATGCTTGTCAATATAATTAAGATAAAAATATTTTATGTATGTACATGGACCTAGCCCATCATTTAACATGGTAGCATGCAAGGCACAAAAGTGGAGCCAAGGAAAAGTACAGTGCCCACAGTCTCTCAGGAGTAGGAAGAGGTGTTTTCAATGCCATCGTGGTGATCAATGAGGAGTTTGAGATGGAGGTAATCACATTGGGTGATGGACGAGCCACTGCCATCCTTACAAAAGAAGCCATGAAGCCTGAAGTTTGCTTTCCCTCAGGTAAGAGAAAAATGTATTTTCCAAACAGGTCTAAACTAATGGGCCCAGATGTACACATCTGCCACATGAGCCTAAGAGGGAGTAAGAGAGATCTAAATTGGAGACATATAATATGCCATTAAACTTAACTTGGCTGTGCCAGCACCCAGGAGCCCAACACAGGGAAGTATATTACAATCACTCGGGTGACCCACAGGAAGAATGCATTTATCTGGACCGAAAAAAGGCTTTCGAGAGTTCCACAGAAGAGAGTGTTCTGGAAACTTGAACATACTGAAGGAGTGACGGAGGCATCTAACATTGATGGAAAAATTTTCTTGCAGAAAAATGAGGGCAGTTATCAGAGGCAATGTATCGAACTGGGGAAATGTCATGAGTGGAGTACCACAGGATTCAGTTCTAGTACTGGTAATGTTCATTGTTTACATAAACGACCTACCAGATACTTGGCTCTCTGTCCTGCTCCAGACTTGGTCTCGACTACTACAACACTTCACTTCATTGCCAACAAACAGACTGCTGTAACCAAGACTTTAATAAATAAATATAAAAAAACACTAAACTTTGTCTAATCAACCAAAAATGTACACGTAAAATGCACATTACATCAAAATATCTTGCTCCACATACATAAATTTTTAACCTTAGGAGGAATTTAATTAAACATGTGTCAAGTCTGTATATATATATATATATATAATTATTTTGAATATCTTAAACAGGTTTTAGTCCACATCAATATCAACAATAAACACATCTGTAGGCAAGGAATGTATACTTCAATAGTTATCTATAAAATCTCATAATTAAAAATATTAAAGCTTTTCATGCCATTTACACACAAGAGAGCAACATTAATGTTTACCTCAGATGAATGAATATTCATAAAAAAAAGAGGTGGGAGGAAAAGAGGGGAGGGGAGGTGAGAGTGAAGGGGCAGGGGAAGGAGATGGTATAGGAAGTTGGAGAGCGACAGGGAAGAGGGAGGTGGGGAAGGGAAAGTTCTCGTACAATTTATATTGCGAGGGCTGGTACAGTCTCAACAAGAATGCATGCACCATTATATATATAACTGTCTCAAATAGTTATGGCAAAAATATTAAGTGTTTACTATTGCATGCTTCCCCAAAATAGAATTGATAAACAAGAAGACTTTTTAATAGACAATACATTTTTCTTTTATGGGAATGTATATTACATGCTACAGTAAGTAGGAAAACAGCAAAGTAAGCATGAAAAGTTAAGACAGCGTAAAACTGTAGAGGCACGTTTTGGGGTCCTCAGATGCATGATGCAGATTTATTTTCAGATACATTATTAGTTCTCCATTCCAATAGAGACTTTTAAAGTTAATTTTTTTTTAAAGTTACCAGAACTAAGAGCCACTGAAAAATAAAAATTTTACCAGGACATATTCAAATGCTTTCTAACTAATGGCAATTTATTACCTTACTTAAAAATGTATTGAGAAACTAATGTCACAATTGAACAATTTGGGATATTTCAACCCATCTTCCTGTTTAGATAGTACTTGTTATAAGTATGCGGACCATCATACATACAGTATACTGACGTAATGGACAATTGGACAGTAGCATTTACAACTTTATGAGGATTCGAAAAAAATAAAGCTAAAAATAAAATATTCCTAGGCCTAGTGTAGCATATACCGTGGTACCTCGGCTTACGAATGTCCCTCTTTATGAACGTTTTGGGTTACAAGCACGATTTATTAAAAAAATTTGAATCGGGTTACGAACTTTGCCTCGGGAAACGAAGTTTGCTGATACGCATATGGCTGACCTAGCGAATGGTGGCATGGCGATCGCGCCTCAGTTTACCAGTGCCTCCCGCCTAGTGACTATGGCGGCCTGAATTCTTTGTAAAGAATTTTAGTTTTTCAGATTTTTTGGCTATTTGAACATAAAAGTTGTTATATATCTCACCATGGGTCCCAAGAAAGCCAGTGGTAAGGTTCAAGCCAAGAAAACACATGTGAGAATGACCATAGAGGAAAAACAAGAGATCATTCATAAACATGAAAATGGTACATGGGTTGTTGAACTAGTTAGGCAGTACAACAAATCTATGTCAACGATATGCACTGTAATTGCTAAGAAAAAGGACGTTACGAGTGCTAAAGTGGCAAAAGGTGTATCAGCAATCACGAAACAAAGAACACAAACACTTGAAGATGTTGAAAAGTTGTTATTAATTCACCCAGAGCAAGCTGTAGTAGTCCGCTGTGTTAATCTTTTTAATGACAATGTGATCTCTCACTTCAGACAAGTGTTACAAAGTAGGGAAAAAACAAGTGTCACTAGACAGGTTTTTAGTGAGAAAAAAACCAGTGAGCCACAAGCAGGTCCTATTGGTATGTAAGTAAAATGTGTCAGTGTGTGTACCCCCAGAGAAGTCATCACTGCCTGATGGTTAGGGGGAAAAAAAAATTTAAAATAAGAAAAAATGTCAAAAAGGTTTATTCAGTGTGTCAGGCAGTTATAATCACTGCCTGATGTTATAATGGAAGGAGACTTCCCCTTCCAAACACAAACACCTCTCCTCCTCCCCGTCTTCCATACGCCAACAAGAGTCATCAATAAAGATAAGTAATAACTTGTACATATTTTAGTACTGAAGATTTGGGTGAATTAGGTATAAAATTTACTTTGAAGTTAATTTTTTGGGGAGTGTGGAACGGATTATTTCAATTTACATTATTTCTTATGGGAAAATTCGCTTCGGTTTACGAATTTTCGGGTTACGAACCGTCTCTGGGAACGGATTAAATTCGTAAGCTGAGGTACTGTACCACTATATATATGTACTATATTAGTTCTCAGATAGTCTGTATTTGGCTATCAGTGATGGTTAAGTTTTATTACATAGCAACAAATACAAAACCTTTTTCAGTTGGTTCAAATTCAATAGCACCAAATTCTACTTTCTAATTGTCAATTACATCAATATATGTTATTAACGATCACGAAACAGTGATCATTTGTATGCGGATATTCCACAGAGAAATGGAAAAGAGAGATGAACATTTCGGCTGATCTGGGCCTTTGTCAACACCGGACTGACAAAAAGTCCGGTGTTGACAAAGGCCCAGATCGGCCGAAGCGTTCATCTCTCTCTCTCCCATTTCTCTGTGGATTTTCCGCATCAATATATGTACGATGGTCCACATCATTATTATAAGTACTGTACTATCTAAACATGAGGATGAGCTGGGATATTTTAAAGGTTTCTTAAAATTTGGCATTTGAACTGTTAACTGTAAGTACTGCATTTATGATTAAAAACTTTACTACATATCAATGGAAGTTTTACCAATATTTTACATAACAAATATCAAGCTGAGGCCTTATACTTTATAATGCCATATACACTGAGGAAAGTCCTGTAAAGTACAATTATTATTATTTTTATAATTAGACAATGTGTAGCCTTTACCTTTTTACTCAATAAAATTTCAAACCTTTCATGTGTCTAGATTTAAGCCAGTCTTCATTACAGGTTGCAACCATTAGTTTGTTGACAAGTGGAATTCTTTGTAAAAAATAAAAGTCACTTGTAGGAGCAACATCAGAAGTACCGAAGATCACTTTCCTTTGCTTTGTCTGAAATACACAAGTTCTATTAGTTACATGAATTATTATTTCATTAGTCATTTATGCAATTGCAAAACCTATGGCGTAATGAATCATTATAAAGACAGAGAATGCAAAGTTTGTTAGTAGTAAGATAACCACATCAGTACTCTCCTTTAAGTTGAATGAAGAGATCATGCTGGAGTGATGATGACTGATTTTAAGAGAAGGAAGATGGAGAAAAGCCAAGAAAAAACCAGCGCTGAATGTAATGAAATGTCTTTTTCTGGATGAGACCTGGAGGCTCCCTGGAGCTTATCGGGCTAATGTATGATATATTAGACCGGGACATTAGCTATGGAGTTCAGACCTACCAGGGACCAGCGCCAGAACCTGGCCCCTTCAGAGAAGTTTCAAGGAGCAATGGCCTTCGAAAACTCCCCTTGTGGTTCGAAGATTTGGGTGAATTAGGTATAAAATCTACTTTCAAGTTTTTAACCCCTTATCTGCCATTGACCGGGGTTAGGCACCCAGAAAGATAGGCATAACAAAACAAAAACCCCACACGGTAAGAAACTAAAACAAAAAAACGAACGGAGAGGTAGAAACTCCCTACACTCCTAAGGAAACAAGCAATTATTACAATTTACTGCCGTGCTGCCCATCCGCGCAGCCCACCTCTCCTCGAGAGGGAGGGGGGGGCCTGGACCTCACCGCGCTGGCTGCCTTCAGTTTGGAAACTAGGCTTCAACCAAAGCGAAAAAACTGCCGACCGGTGGGAGGGAGGGTTGCCAGGGAGAGACTGGGGCTCACCCAGAAAATGGTGTTTCATTACAGTCAACGCTGGTTTTATGTGGGGGAGCCCCTATGGCTCCCTGCAGCTACATACCCAAAGAGAAAGGAAAAAGGGACTTACCCGGGAGGCGGCGGCCACAAACTCAACACGACGTCGAGACAACTGTCTGCAACCTGCGACCCAAAGCAACACAAGAACGCCGAGGAGCAGGCACGTTCACCAAATAACGGGCGGCCAGGACCCTGTTCGACCTCCAAAATCCACGCGCCTGAATATGAGCCCAAAACATGTTACCAAACACGACAGCCAAAGCTGCAAACTTTTGAACGTCATGGGCACAAGGATAGACCCCAGGTTGAATAGACTTAATAATCCTGCGGACAACCTGGGAGACCTGAGCCCGGGAACAGGGAACGAGGGAAACCAGATCAACCCAAAGCGCATCCCCAGACGAGGCGTGCAGGTAACGGCCAAACCAACCAAGCATCAATGACCCAAAGACCCCACCAGAAAGCAGCCGTCTCGTTCTTCTCCAGAAAAGACGAAGAAGGCTGCAAACGTACAAACCTACCCCAGGACCAAAAGAGCAGAAACCTCTGTGCCGGAGGAGAGCATGAAGCTTCCCTACCCGACCCCCCAGAGGCCAATGCCAACAAAAACAAAGCCTGGGAAGAACAATCTTGAACTGAGGAGAGGAAAGATACGATAGCACCCTGTCCACGGAGCAGGACGGCTCAGGCAGCACATAAGCAGGCAGGAGGTGAAACATAGCATGAGAAAGCTTACAGAACGGGGCGGATGTGACGTCCACCCCGAACGCTAGCTGGAGCGGCTCTGCCAGCGACGCACGATACGAGGCGACAGTATTAGGCATCAAATGACGGTCCTGAAAAAGCCAAAGAAAGAAAGGACAAGACAACCTGGTCCGAAAGAGAAGACAACCTACGAAGAGAAGGAGAAAATGGCAAAAAGAACGCCAGGAAACTTCATAATGTCGCCGAGGCAAAGCTCTCGGGTGAGACACCATCATCGAAGCCAGCTGATCACCATAGAAATGGCGATACACTTGCATCAAAAAGACCAGACGCGAAGAGCAGAGGAGAAGGTTGAACTAGCCCTGTACTGGACCAGTCCGACCTACTGAAACAGGCAGAGCTGCGGGAAACGCCCCGGGTTCGGACACCGAGCAAACAGCGCCGGAAACCAAGGCTGGGCCGGCCACCAAGGGGCCACAAGGACTACTCTCCCAGGGAAGGTCTCTAACAGAGCCAGAACCCGAAGCAACAGCTGGACCGGGGGGAAGAGGTACAGGTAACCCCACCTCGACCAGTCTTGCCGAAAGGCATCCACTGCGAACGCCTCGCAGTTAGGAAAGGGTGTCACATAGACTGGGAGACGCCGAGACCACGCCGACACGAAGAGGTCCACGTCCTCTTCCACAAGGCCACCGGAGGACAAACCCAACGATTGCGAGAGAGGCGGAAGGGGTGTCCCCGAAGGAACCAAAACAGACGCCGAAGCCAAACCCGACCCGGTAGGTAGACCAGCACGGTGAAGTTCAGACTCCCGCTCGAGCAACCGCCAAGTGACCCGGGATCCCCTCAGAAACAGCTAATGGCGGGACCGCAGCCGCAGCAACGTCTCTGGAGGGAGAGACAAGGAAGCGGTACAAGAATCCCAAACAAGACCCAGCCAGGTCCGAACCTGGGATGGAACCAGATGGGACTTCCTCCAGTTTACCAGAAACTCGAACCTGGCGAGCTGGGAAAGAACCATATCCCTGGTGAGCAGACAAGCTGACCGATTGTGAGCTCACACCAGCCAGTCGTCGAGGTAGGCCAATACCCGAATCCCTACAAGACGCAAACGAGTCACCACAACCTGGGTCAGACCCGTGAAAAAGCGAGGTGCCAGATTCAAGCCAAAAGGAAGACTCCCCACCACAAAACCTAACCGATCCCTGAACACTGGATGAATAAGAACGTGCCAATAAGCATCCTTGAGGTCCAGGGGACACCATCCAAGCACCCGGCTCTAACAGAAGCCAGACCTGAGACAGTAGTCATCCGAAAGGATGGGCAAGGAATCCAGGGGTTCAGACGGGACAAGTTCAGAATGAACCTCAGATCCGCACAGTCTCGTTTCGGCACTGGAAACAGGTGGGAAACCCACCTGAGACCTGAGACACGGGGTCGTTTCACCCAAGCGCAGGAGAAGCAGCCTGTCCTGTCAGCCCCGATCCCCCGAACGGAGGACGAGCCGCCCAACGCCACCGCAGTCCAGATGACACGACTGAAAAGGCCCACATATCGTGGGACCAAGTGTGGGTAAACAGAGCTAGCCTCCCCCCATCGCCCCGTCAACGGGGCGAACCATGAAAGGGCCGACGCCCCTTACGAGAACCCAAACATCGAACAGAGAGATCACTGCGGCGACCAGACTATGCCAGCCCTGAAGGCAACAACAGCTCAGAAACTGGCCCACCTCGACCAGCGGAACCCTGAACCCTGGCAAGACCCCTTTGAGACGGCCGAGAACGACCGCCCCGGAGAACCATCAAGTCTGACATAGGACAACAACTAGACAAAGCTGCTTGCAGAAAAACCAAAATGGGCAGCCCTAAAAACCAAAACGGGGCAGCCTCAGGGCATCCGGGTGGGAAACCAACCTAACACATTGCAGTAACCTAAACCTAACATGCAATGCAGATGCTGCCTGTACACTAACAACAATATCAGAATAAAACTGGAGCACAAGCAGAGAACACAACTCGCAAGACTCCGGGTCAAAGGTGTCATTGACCCAACAGGCAACATGACGGAGGCAAAACAGGTGACTGTCACCCTGAGACAAGGGCACACAGCAACCTTCAAACCCGCACAAAGCAGGCTGGAACTCGGGAGACGCATCCATGGGTCCACCGAGCCCCGTCGGGTTTCCAGGGCCCGTAGGGTAACAACTACGGGAAGCCCAGGCAAGGTGTTGCAAACCGGTTAGAAACCCAAACAACAAGGGTGATAACACATAACACTGAAACCCCTGTGACATGTACAAGCACAGGGGCCTAGCAGAGGGCCATCAAAACAGTATCAGGGGAACTATAGTCCCATGAGGCAGAACCCCCACCAGGCAAACAAAAAACAAAAAAACAAAAACTCCCGCAAAAGTACACTGTCCTCACAGGCAACAGGAACCGGCCACTGCGTAGGTGGCAGGACGCGCAACACCTTGAGGCCCTAACCAGCGCAACACCACTCCCTACCCAAGGCCAAACAAGGGCCCCAAGCTCAAGCTGACCCCAAGGGCGAGGCAAATACCGAGCAGTAAGAACCCCTACAGGAGTGGTTTCCGAATACCCCAGGGAAGATAACCCTGACACGCAGGGGCAGTACTCACAGGGCGCTTAGGGAAGGAAGCCCCTAAGCGCAAGCAGCCCTGGCACTGATGAGGGATACACACCGAGTCAGTGCCTGTTTTTTGCCAGACTTCCCCACCCTATAGCGGGCAATATATGCCACTTACGATTTTTTTATTATTTTTCCCCATGATCAGTGAACATAAATTAACAGGTTTAGAAGAATTTTTTTTTTTTTTTTTGGTATGCTCCTGTGGGTGACATGCTAAATAGCCAGGCGCCATACAAAGGTTAAAGAATTTGTGAAGTCCCCTATAGTGTCCTCTCTTGAAATAAAGTTTATCAACTGTTTCAGTATCCCCATTCTCTACCTAGATGATTTTGCATAACATGTTTAGTTTCGAACAGGACATGATCACTTTCCCTATGAAGGAAGGTACTGGATGTCAAATCTCCTCTTCTTTCCTGGTGAATATTAGATCTAGTACAGTATTGACAAAACATCCCCTTCCCTCATTCTTGTGTCCTGCTTGATGTGTTGATACATGAATGTCTCCAGATTGAGGTTTACAAATCTGCCCGTCCAAATGCCCACTGTTCTTGCTTTGTAGGCCTCCCAGTCTATTGCTTTCAATTTGAAGTTCCCCAAGTACTAACAACTGTGATTTAATTTTATCTGGTCTTACTATAATCTTTCTCATGATCATTATGAGGCCCTCTTGTTTGTCATCTAGTTCCTCCTTTATCCATGTATCTCCCCAAACTGTTACCATGGGGATGAAAACGTTCCTCTCCAACCACAGTCTGCACAAAAGTGCAGACTGTGGTTGGAGAGGAACAGAATTGCTAGAAGTGATGCTAAAATCCTTAGGATATACAATTTATATGACCAAATGAAAACTTCTCATGGGGTATTCTCAGGATCTCTCTATGTTAAAATAACAATTATGTGCACGCCTGGAGGTGGGGCGCGCGTGCACGCCTGGAGGTGGGGCGCGCGTGCACGCCTGGAGGTGGGGCGCGCGTGCACGCCTGGAGGTGGGGCGCGCGTGCACGCCTGGAGGTGGGGCGCGCGTGCACGCCTGGAGGTGGGGCGCGCGTGCACGCCTGGAGGTGGGGCGCGCGTGCACGCCTGGAGGTGGGGCGCGCGTGCACGCCTGGAGGTGGGGCGCGCGTGCACGCCTGGAGGTGGGGCGCGCGTGCACGCCTGGAGGTGGGGCGCGCGTGCACGCCTGGAGGTGGGGCGCGCGTGCACGCCTGGAGGTGGGGCGCGCGTGCACGCCTGGAGGTGGGGCGCGCGTGCACGCCTGGAGGTGGGGCGCGCGTGCACGCCTGGAGGTGGGGCGCGCGTGCACGCCTGGAGGTGGGGCGCGCGTGCACGCCTGGAGGTGGGGCGCGCGTGCACGCCTGGAGGTGGGGCGCGCGTGCACGCCTGGAGGTGGGGCGCGCGTGCACGCCTGGAGGTGGGGCGCGCGTGCACGCCTGGAGGTGGGGCGCGCGTGCACGCCTGGAGGTGGGGCGCGCGTGCACGCCTGGAGGTGGGGCGCGCGTGCACGCCTGGAGGTGGGGCGCGCGTGCACGCCTGGAGGTGGGGCGCGCGTGCACGCCTGGAGGTGGGGCGCGCGTGCACGCCTGGAGGTGGGACGCGCGTGCACGCCTGGAGGTGGGACGCGCGTGCATTGTCTTCTCTTAGTAAAGATATTTGTCTTTTTGAGAGGGGTATGAAAAGACATATCATGAGTAGCTAAGTAGCATTGAAGAAATAACTTACCTCTGATTTGCCAATAGAATCATATTCTGTACAGCAGAGAGTGTAGACTGAGGGTTCTGTCCTGTAACAACCCCAGCATTAACTACAATGTGAATACTAGTCGGAGCGCCCGTCGAGAATATTCCGGCCCGGTCAAGAATGGCATCTCCAGGAATCAGTGGTAATGAGGCAAAGTAAGTTGTTGCTGTAACTTCTGCTAGGGATGACTGGAAAGAACAGAAGTAGAACTAAAGAAATCTGAAAGTTGGTAATACTGTTTCATGCCATATAATGGAAGGAATTTATCAAATGCTGTAACAAAACTGTTAAAACACATATATATGAAGAGCTAAAATTTATAATAGTTCAATTTTGTTGTTAGTTATTACATATTGGACAAACACCAAATAAAACCCTCAGCACTGAATGTAATGAAATGCATCTTTCTGGTTATGCCCTGGTAGCTCCCTGTAGCTAGCCACACCAAGATAGTGCCACACAAGAGTCACATCAGCCCTTGGTGTCTTTGATAGCATGCCAGAGACCAAAGCCAGAATCTGGGCCACTCACAGATGTGCAGAGAGCAGGAGATTCTTACAATCACCCTCACAGAGGAAACATGCAGAAAGTCAGCAAGGAAAAAATGGACAAATGCAAGACTCGCAGAAAAAAAGCAGCAGCAAACTACTCTGTGAAAGATCCACTCAGCAGTTGGGTCAAACCCCTTGGTTAAAGCTGGCCATTGCCAGGTGGCAGCACCACAGAAAGCTAATGGCTCACCCTGTCAACAATTTCAACAATCTTTAGTCTGGAGCATAATAAAATCAAACTGACACACCTGGTAAGGGGGAAGGGACCAGGAAGCCACTGAGGCTGAACTAGAAAGAGATATTTTCATTACATGTTACATTACATTTTCATTACAATGTTTTTTTTTTTTTTTGGGGGGGGGGGGGGGATTCCAAGGCTTCTCTATCTCAGGCCACTATGGATGGCTTGAGATAATGGAGATTTGAGATGAATCAATAACCAAGGGACACATCCGGAAGACAACCCTTCTCATTCTTTGCCTGAAATGAAATGAAGGTTGCAAATGGAGAAACCTAAGGACCGGGGCCAAAGGAGCAAAACTCTCAGCGTATGGAGGAGTGTGTGAAGCTCCCAAACTCTATAACTGGAAGTGAGAGCCAACAAAAACTAAGCCACGAAGAAGGTATTATGGACTGAAGGGTGACCGAGAACAAAGGAAATGAAAGAAAAACAATACCCTATCCAGAGACCAAGATGACTTTGAAAGCTTTTCAAACATAAGAGGTTGAGAAGGTACAACTGGGATGCACATGCAAGATGGTTAACATGACCACCTTAGGGTGTAAACAAGTTGCAATGATTGAGGTTAGAGGTAAGGGAGTGAACCAATTCTACTAAAGACCATGGGAGACCACCCAGAGAGCCTACACATAATGGAACCCAGAGCTAGGAAAAAGGAGAGAAAAAAAAAAAAAAAAAAAAAAAAAACCAGATGTCCCCCACAGCACCATCAAAGGGGTGAACTGCAAAACGTCTGGTGAGAAAACCCCTCCACAGAAGCACCCTTCCTCAATGCTTGAGAATGATGCTGACTAGAAGAGGTAAAGAATGAAGGGTGTGCAATGGCTCGAGAATTTGGCTCCAACAGAGGCCTACCCTGACCAATAACAGCCGGGGCCCTACCCCAGGAGAATTACCTCCGAGCAGACAGAACAAAACCTCTCTGCAAAGACTGAAAGTCTGAAATTCATCACCCACAGCCAAGAGCACAGAAGAGACAGCTTCCTCCGGAGAAAGAGGGGATGAAAAGGGGGAGGCAGACAAAAGGGTAACTGACCACACAATCTAAAACCTGGAAAAGGACAGCACACATGAAAATGTAACAAGCCTGGAAAAAGACAGCACACAGGAAAGTGAAACAAGCCTGGAAGGTGTCTGCCACTTCCTCCCAAAAGAGAGGAAACAGAAACTTGGGCAAAGCCACTGATGCCAGAACCACAAGTAACAAGGCAGCGATATCTGTCACTGAAGCCAACATCTTCAAGCCACCTTGGAGCTGGTTGAAAACAGTTCAAGTCCGCTCAGATGCATAAAATGACAGCAAAGCAAGTACTGGCCCTGTGATCCTCCATGGCCTGGGCTCCTGAAAGCAAAAGCAGCTGCATATAGAGCTGCCACACACCATAGCCCCACCTCTTGTTCTGATTCTGTCTACATCCTTGGGCAGATTCAAAACAAACAGGCATTCTACTAGTGGGACAAAAGAACCTCTATCCAAGAACACCTGAAAGATGGAGCTCATTTGTTACCACTTAACCATTCAGGGTATGGCAATAAGTCTCCGTGTCTCCGTGGTGTAGTGGTAAGACACTCGCCTGGCGTTCCGCGAGCGCTATGTCATGGGTTCGTATCCTGGCCGGGGAGGATTTACTGGGCGCAATTCCTTAACTGTAGCCTCTGTTTAACGCAACAGTAAAATGTGTACTTGGATGAAAAAACGATTCTTCGCGGCAGGGGATCGTATTCCAGGGACCTGCCCGAAACGCTACACGTACTAGTGGCTGTACAAGAATGTAACAACTCTTGTATATATCTCAATCTCAATCTCAATAAGTATACCAAGCCCCCAAAGGAAAACAGAGGGTTGTTCGCAAACCAGGAAGAATCAAGGACCTCATACAGCAGCCAAAAGCTTGAAGTAAACCTGAATTTAAAATGAGACAGGGGTCCATCAAGGTAGCAATGTCCTGATCTTGCAAACCCTAGTGCCCCAAAACAATAAACCCCAACTGTTCCACTCTCAGAACCTCATAAAGAGATCAATGACTCTGGCACTACTCTGACGAGCACACTACACGTAGGCCGACTTCTATGGGACGTATTCCTGAACCCACCAGGGAAGTTACCCTGTTAGGGCAGGGGCATTGCCAAATAAGCACCTAGGGAAGTGCTGTCCAAACACACATGTGAAGCTAACAATAAATACTGAAAGTTACAAATGCAAATGGGCTCTACCAGGACAAAGCCCAAAGGATGGCCAACACTCATCTAGAACATAGTTTGGACCTGCAAAGGATGGCGACTCAAGCAAAAGGTCAAAGCAACAGGACTTGAGCAACTGTCCTTCACCTGATCATCAAATGAAGGATTGAGAATTGTTGATAGGGGAAGCCATCAGCTTCTAGTGGGGCTGCCACTTGACTGTGGCCAGCTATAACTAGGGGGTTTAACCCAACTGTTGAGTGGATCATTTACAGTCATTTATTGTTTCCTTTCTTTTTATATGACCATCACAGTTGTTTGTTTTGCTTTAATAACTTTATGGATGTTTCCTCATTGAAAGTAATCCTAACAATCTTCTGCTCTCTGCTAGGCTATTAAGGACTCCAGGTGATGGGACTTATGTCTCCCATCACTGAGATATATTGGGGCAGGTAGCTGCAAGGAGCCACCAGAAATATTACTAAACTGCGATTAGCAAATAAAACCAGCGTTGAATGTAATGAAACATCATTTTCTGGGCGAGTCCTGGAGGTTTCCCGGAGCTATCCAGGCTAATATGTATAGCCCAAAACTTTGGTGTCAGTCAGTGTGAATGGTGTTCTAGGTCAACCAGGGACCATGGCCAGAACCTGTCCCCCTCTGAGAGACATGAGGAGCAATGGCCTATTGAAATGCACATGGGATTTGGAGAATTCTATATCTGCCATCGACCAGGATAGGCACCCAGAAAGGTAAGTGCCTCAAAACAAACCCCTGTTCTTGTTAGTACAACTAAAATAGACCAACTAGTGGACAGAACTTTTCAAATGAAAAAGAGCAAACAAGCATGACATCACACGAGCCGTGCCGCATGTCTGCACAGCTTCCCCCTCCCTGAGAGGGGGGGAAGGGGAGCCCCCAGACCCCCATGTCGGCAATCCACCCACCAGTTCTGAGGCTGGATGTCAAAACATACAAAAAACCACCAACCAGAGGGAGGGAGGGTTGCCGGGGAGCCTCTGGGGAGCCTCCGGGACTCACCCAGAAAATGGCATTTCATTGCATTCAACCCTGGTTATCTGGGGAAAGCCCCTTTGGCTCCCCGGAGCTACTTCACCAAAGAGGAAAACAAAAGAACTTACTCAGAAGGCGGTCGGTGCTCACATCTCGAGCCGAAGTCGAGACAACAGGCAGCAACTACCGATCCAAAGAGACACAGGCCCGACTAGGCTCAGGAACATTCACAAGGAAGCGTGCAGCCAGGACCTTGATTGACTGCCAAAAACCCCGTGCCCGAATGTCAAACCAGGACATGTTACCGAAGACAGCAGCGAGCACAGCAAATGTACGTACGAACGTCATGGGGCACGGGGAATAGATTGCATGCTGGCTAGACCAAATGACCCTGCAGACCACCTGAGAGACCCGAACCTAAGAACAGGGAAGAAGGGAAACCAGATCAACCCAAAGCGCGTCCCTGGCCACAAAGGCCGTGGAGCGCAAATAACGACGGAGAGCCGCAACCGGACACAACACATGATGCACCCCTGGCCTGACCAACCAAGCATCAACATCCCAAGAACCCCTCCAGAAAGCAGCAGTCTCATTCTTCGCCAGAAAAGAAGGAGATGGCTGCAAACGAACAAATCTATCACAGTGACCAAAAGAGCAGAAACCCCTGTGCCAGAGGAGAGAATGAAGCTCCCCCAGCCTGACCCCAAGAGGCCAATGTCAATAAGAAAAGAGCTTTGGAAAAACAATCCTGAACCGAAGGGGACCACAAAAACTAAGGTGAAGACAGGAAAGGAGGGCACTCTGTCCAAAGACCAGGATGGCTCAGGCGGTGCATGAGCAGGCTGGAGGTGAAACAAAGCTCGAGACAGCCTGCGAAGCGGTGCAGTAGTAACATCAATACCAAAAGCAAGCTGCAGCAGCTCCGCCAACATCACATGATACGAGGCAACAGTATTCGGCATAAGATGATGGTCCTGAAACAGCCACAAGAGAAAGGACAAAAAGAAACGGCAGGAAACTTCATACTGCTGCCGAGACGAAGCACGTAGGTGGGACATCATCAAGGAAGCAACCTGATCACCATACAGATGGTGATAGACTCGAGGAGAAAAGCGAACCAGTCTCATAACAGACCAGACCGATCTGTTGAAAGAGGCGGAGCCGCAGAAAAACCTCCGGGTTCAGATACTGAGCAAGCAGT